TGGCTCAGAGGAGGAGTTATGTGTTGTATAAATTGAATGCCCTTGCTTGCCATTAAACCAATCTTGTTCCAGCATTAAGCTTTGACTCATGTGTGGATTATTATGCGACACCAGCGATATTGTAACCTTGGGATTACTGGCGATATTATTTCATGGAATAAGGGAATAGTGATGTTGCGAACACGAAATTTTCGGTTCGCGAATGGCGAACACAAACTTCCACAAATGTTCGCGAACCGGCGAACCGGGGCGAACCACCGTAGACTTCAATGGGAAGGCGAATTTTAAAACACACAGGGACTCTTTCTGGCCACAATAGTGATGGAAAAGTTGTTTCAAGGGGACTAACAGCTGGACTGTGGCATGCCGGAGGGGGATCCATGGCAAAACTCGCATGGAAAATTACACAGTTGATGCAGAGTCTGGTTTTAATCCATAAAGGGCAGAAATCACCTAACATTCCTAAATCACAATGAATATGGATTGACACCTTGTAGCGGATGGCACTGGGCTGTCCTGCAAATGTCTTGTGAATAACTGCATTCGTGTGATCTGCTAGTTTTATATGTGTTTAAAAGAATTGTATTCCTCTGATTGTTCGGTAGAATCATTCGAATAAACTAAGGGAATGAAACTACCGAACAATCAGACCTCCCCTGTGTGAAGTGTGTCCTCAATTACCCGTTGCAACATTGTTGCGAACGGTAATTGACAAGTTAAGTAGCCGTCCTTTGTTCTCGGGGGTGGCCGCCATTCGACAAACGAACAGCGGTGTTTTGCCGTCGAGTGTCTGGAACTCAAATCGGACACTCGACTAGGCGAACACCGCTGAAACCTCCACAAGCCCGGTCCGTTCGGTTCCAAACTACCGAACGGCCCCTCGTTCGGTAGATAGAAAGAACCGAATGAGGGGAGTCAGGCGAACCCTCCCTAGCCTCTATAGCTAGAGGCTTTCGTGCAGTTTGTTCCCTTATTCCAGGACCGACCACAGGGCCCATTCGCATGGAACCGCATTCGGCTATTTCAGTCAGTGTGGTCGGTCATTTTATTCCCTCCATAAATTTCCCGAACCCCTGGTCTGATCTGGGTGATTTTTGGATATGTTGTTCACCCAGATCAGGGCTATCAGGGGATGTAGGATTTAAAGGGGTACCCCTACGTTTAGGGGTACATCCAGAAACGGAGGGAATTGCTAGACTGGATAAGGGGATTATGATGCTGGCTGAGGGGAGGACATGTGTGGGAGGTTACCAGGACAGGATTGGCTACTGTACTAATGATTGTAAATCCCTCCCTTGCATGGGAGCATGCTTTAAAAGGACACTGTGGATTAAAAGATTTCAGTTCTGCTCTTGAAACTGTGTGTCGTCCAGTTATTGGGATTGCTGTGGGGATATTGCTGTTATTTTACCTGCTGGAAACCTTGCCTGTGGATTTACTATTTACTTGTTCCTGAGCCTCACTTGGATCATAAGCGGAGATAACCGGGGGAATATTGCATCTCCGCTACACACCTGACATATGACATATTGACACCTTGACATATGGATTGACACCTGTCCTCAGAGCCCCTGATGCACACGGACACAGAGCAGAATAGGGACTGTTCCCCCTACATAGGGTCACTTGGCAGATATGGATTGACACCTATCCTAAGGGTCCCTGATACACACTGACAAAGAGCAGAATAGAGACTGTTCCCCCTACATAGGGTCACTTGGCAGATATGGATTGACACCTGTCCTCAGAGACCATGATGCACACTGACACAGAGCAGAATAGAGACTGTTCCCCCTACATAGGGTCACTTGGCAGATATGGATTGACACCTGTCCCTCAAAGCCCCTGGGATACACACTGACACAGAGCAGAATAGAGACTGCCCCCTACATAGGCTGTCACTTGGCAGATATGGATTGACACCTGTCCTCCTCAAAGCCCCTGATACACACCTCGACACACAGAGCAGAATAGGGACTGTTCCTCCTACATAGGGTCACTTTGGCAGATATGGATTGACACCTGTCCTCAGAGACCTCATGATACATAGAAACATAGAAACATAGAATGTGACGGCAGATAAGAAACCATTCGCCCATCTAGTCTGCCCAATTTTCTAAATACTTCTATTAGTCCCTGGCCTTATCTTATAGTTAGGATAGCCTTATGCCTATCCCACGCATGCTTAAACTCCTTTACTGTGTTAACCTCTACCACTTCAGCTGGAAGGCTATTCCATGCATCCACTACCCTCTCAGTAAAGTAATACTTCCTGATATTATTTTTAAACCTTTGTCCTCTAATTTAAGACTATGTCCTCTTGTTGTGGTAGTTTTTCTTCTTTTAAATATAGTCTCCTCCTTTACTGTGTTGATTCCCTTTATATATTTAAATGTTTCTATCATATCCCCCCTGTCTCGTCTTTCCTCCAAGCTATACATGTTAAGATCCTTTAACCTTTCCTGGTAAGTTTTATCCCGCAATCCATGAACCAGTTTAGTAGCCCTTCTCTGAACCCTCTCTAAGGTATCAATATCCTTCTGAAGATACGGTCTCCAGTACTGTGTACAATACTCCAAGTGAGGTCTCACCAGTGTTCTGTACAATAGCATGAGCACTTCCCTCTTCCTACTGCTAACACCTCTCCCTATACAACCAAGCATTCTGCTAGCATTTCCTGCTGCTCTATTACATTGTCTGCCTACCTTTAAGTCATCAGAAATAATCACCCCTAAATCCCTTTCCTCATATGTTGAGGTTAGGACTCTATCAAATATTCTGTACTCTGCCCTTGGGTTTTTACGTCCAAGATGCATTATCTTGCACTTATCCACATTAAATGTCAGTTGCCACAATTCTGACCATTTTTCTAGTTTACCTAAATCATTTGCCATTTGGCTTATCCCTCCTGGAACATCAACCCTGTTACATATCTTAGTATCATCAGCAAAAAGACATACCTTACCATCAAGACCTTCTGCAATATCACTAATAAAAATATTAAAGAGAATGAGTCCAAGTACAGATCCCCGAGGTACCCCACTGGTGACAAGTCCAAGCTTCGAATATATTCCATTAACTACAACCCTCTGTTGCCTGTCACTCAACCACTGCCATACCCATTCAACAATATTGGAATCCAAACTTAAAGATTGCAGTTTATTGACAAGCCTTCTATGTGCAACAATGTCAAAAGCCTTACTTAAATCTAGGTAAGCAATGTCTACTGCACCACCCTAATCTATAATTTTAGTTACCCAATCAAAAAAATCAATGAGATTAGTTTGGCATGATCTCCCTGAAGTAAACCCATGTTGTCTCTGATCTTGAAATCCATGTGTTTTTAGATGTTCATCAATCCTATCCTTTAACATGGTTTCCATCACTTTCCCCACTACTGAAGTAAGGCTTACTGGCCTATAGTTGCCCGACTCCTCCCTATTACCTTTCTTGTAAATGGGCACAACATTCGCTAACTTCCAATCTTCTGGGACTACTCCTGTTAACAATGATTGGTTAAATAAATCTGTTAATGGTTTTGCTAGTACACCACTAAGCTCTTTTAATAGCTTTGGGTGTATTCCATCAGGTCCCATTGACTTATTTGTCTTTACTTTTGACAGTTGAAATAGAACCTCTTCCTCTGTAAACTCACGTGTAATAAATGACTCCTTTATCCTTTTTCTCAACTGAGGTCCCTTTCCTTCATTTTCATCTGTAAATACAGAACAAAAATATTCATTGAGGCAGTCAGCTAGACCTTTATCCTCTTCTACATACCTTCCTTCTTTTGTTTTTAATCTAACTAATCCTTGTTTTACTTTTCTTTTCTCATTTATGTATCTAAAAAATGTTTTATCCCCCTTTTTTACTGACTGTGCTATTTTCTCTTCTGTGTGTGATTTGGAAGCTCTTATAACTTGCTTAGCCTCTTTTTGCCTAATCTTATAGATCATTTTGTCTTCCTCACTCTGGGTTTTTTTATAATTCCTAAATGCTAACTTTTTGTTTTTAACTATTTTGGCCACATCTGCGGAGTACCACAGTGGTTTCTTGAATTTTTTGCTTTTACTGACAAGCCTAATGCAATTTTCTGTTGCCTTCAATAGTGCAACTTTTAAATAATCCCATTTCTCTTGGACTCCATTTAAATTGCTCCAGTCTGATAATGACTCCTCTACCCATATTCTAATTTTAGAAAAGTTTGTTTTTCTAAAGTCTAAAACTTTA